TTGCCCAATGTCCTTTTTTTCCATACACAAAGCATTGATCATTCTTTTTGTAGGTTTGCTTTTGTTCCCTTGTTAACGTTTTGTCTTTATTTGTTCTTAATAAACCTTTCTGTCTATTATTCTTAAGTTCTGTTCTATCTAATTCTATTGGTGCGAGCTCTTGTTCTTCATAAGTTTCAGAAGGCTGAATCTTCTTTTCACTTCCTTGTTGGCAAGTCCAACTATTGCTTTCAATCTTGCTTCTTGCGAGTTTAAGAACCCCGTACATTGCTATATCATAACTGGCAGCAAGTTTTATGGCATCATCCAATATTTCGGGAGCCTGATAGTTGACTTCAGCTTTTGTGGCTCCTTTTAGTCCTTCTGTGAAATACATTACCTTATTAGCTTCATACATTTCTTTTATCTGCTCTAGCAGATTCCTGAAGCATGATGCATATTCTTGGACTGTTGACATTTGCTTTAGGTCTCTTAATTGTTGCCGCAAGAGTTGTTGGTGATGTGGGGTTGGAAAGCTGCTTTGATTCCCTCAGCAAATGACTTTCAACTTACAAAAGGGCCTTCTTCAGAGTTGGCTTGAATTTGGTTTAAATACCATTGTAGCATGGTGCCTCTTAACTCTATTATAATATACTGTAGTCTTTCCTCATCTTTAACTTTTCTTGCCTTAAATAGGAGATTAACTTGTAGGAGCTATGTTGCTACATTTTCACCATCCTTTCCTTGGAAAACCAGAAGTTGTATGGTAAAACCTTTGAACGATGGTTCGTTTATTATTTCTGTACTTAACATTCTTAAGGTTAATCCTGCTAATGTATCTTGTGTTGCTTGCTGTTGTCATGCTGTGGATACTATATATTCGTTTATCTTGTTTTGGTTCTGGATAAACTTTTTGAACAGTGTGAAAAAGTTGGGTGAGGTTTCTTGCTCTGACATTATTTTTATTATTTTTTTTTTTATCTATTTATTTGTTTATTTATTTATCCACTACTACCAAGTGTAACACAATATTTTATCTCAAGGCCAGAATGTATGTTTTATTGAGCGAAGATAATAAAAAACTACTGACCAATACAATTCTCTTTTCTTTGTTCTATTTATGTTACTTTAATTCTACCTAATTATTACTACATTTCTTATATGCCAATTCTACCTAACTATTACTACATTTCTTATGCATCGCTCTGATTTATTATATGATCACTTGTGCTATATAATCTTGTCTATTACTTTATACTTACTCTATGATCGTGCTGCGGTCATTGATCACGTTTCGTCGTCACGATTCTCTTCATCACGATTGTGATCATTACACGGATCATGATCATTGCATAAGTCACGTTTTTGATTATCTATTCCTTTACAATTTGAGTAGGGTCGGTGACAAGTTGGTTTGATAGTTTGATATTAGTGAAATGAACAGGAGGCTGGTATCGATTGAGTATATTATTAATAGC